AGTGCATAGAGCTCGGTTTAACCTGTATGACACAGTCGTTACGTTCCCGCCTCGCTACTCTAACTACGCCCATATGCGGAGAAGTTAGGTTAACGTATCAAGGAGTCAGTTCAGCTAAGTGGTGTATGCGTGAGTCTGTGATATCCCCTTTCTACTTCTCGACCAGCTTCTCCCCCTCCTCCTCCTCCACCAGCTCCCTTCTTCCTTCCTTCTCCCCTTCCTCCTTCTCCACCAGCTTCTCCCCCTCCTCCGTCTCCACCAGCTTCTCCCTTCTCCCCTCCTCCTCCACCAGCTTTCTTCTCCTCCTCCTTCTCCCCTTCCTCCTTTCCCCCTCCTTCTCTTCTTCCTCCTTTTCCACCAGCTTCTCCCCTCCTCTTTCTCCACCAGCTTCTCCCCTCCTCCAGCACCTTCTCCCCTCCTCCNTGAGAGTGACTATAATTTAGCATAATTTGAAAAATTATTTTATTCAATTTAAATATTTTTTTCAATATATTTTATTTAGTATTGATCCAATTTTTAGCTCATCTGACATAGTCAGATCGAGCTTGTAGAATCGCATGAGCGTGCGTCCGTGCTGTGCGTCCGTCCGTGCGTCAAACAGTTGGGCACAAATCTTAACTGCTTGACGTACGGTCACGATATTTCGGGAACGTCGGGGGGAATCGTCAAAACGAGTTGGGATGTCGAAGCTGGGGTCAAAGGACAAAGGTCAAGAGGTGTAAATGAAGGGGGAACATTCCTCCTTCACTTTAAGGTATAGGGAGGAAATGCAGAATTGCGGCACAAATCTAAACGGCTCGACATAGGCTCATGATAGTCGGTGTACAGCATCATGGTAGGAAGCCATCGCTGTGCTGAAATTGAGGTCACAGGTCAAAGGTCAATGGCCAGCCAGGGCAGGCAGATTTTGAACATTTTCTGAGGACATGGTCTGATGGAGCGATTGAAAAATCTTTTTTGTTTCAGCGGTGACTAGCATTTTTATGGCTTTATTGAAAGGACCATGAATGTAATTTCTGCTGACATGCGAAGAGTAAGTGTTGGATAACCTTTTAACCCTTAAAGAGGCGGGTTATAAATGGATTTCTTTAACTGTTAGAAAGAATTTGACTGCCGGGTTTGCTAGTAGAACTATACAGTGCTGGATGTATGAGGCTACAATGTCACAGTGAAACTTCAAAAGCTAAATTTGTGTGTGAAGAGGTTTGGCTATCGTATAATTTCTATGGCATTTGTACCTGTCAGTGTGTTACATGTAACGTATGCCCATCGGCCAGTGCCAGTGCATGTGGTGGTGGTACGTGGTAGTTTTTGCCTGCGTTAATTAGTTACAGGTGGCAGCTCTTCTATTTCAGCCTGTAGGCTTGCGTAGGTAAATGGATGTGTGCTTACCTAGTTCTGTCTTGCAAATAGTTGGGGAGCTTCCATCTTTAATCTGAGGAGACACTCTAAACGTACGCGCCATCTCGTGGCAACTTTCATAACGATCCCAATGACATTCCTTGAGAAGGTTCCTGATACCATCCTGTGCCTTTATGTGAACACATTTGGGACTAACAGGGTTTACTAGAATCCCACCACTCACCACAGAGTCACCGCAGTAGACGTTAGATGAAGCGCTGATCGCTCCGCAGCACTTGTTATTAGATTGCATTGGATTGTATTACAACTATGTCAGGGTTCTCCCCAGGATGAAATTGAAACAGGGGGAAGGGAGGGGAGGGGGGGGCGGTTGAAGGAGGGGAAACTAGGGGGGTCGCGGGGCGTGTTTTTTACCGTACCACTAATTAATGCGTAAAATCGCACCACACCATAGACGGTATTTGGGGTTCTTGTATATATAAGATAGCCGAGTTGGTGTACAGTTAGTGTTGGGTTCGGTACGGTTAACTGTTTGTACTTGTGGTATGGTCTGCAGTGCATGCGTGGTACGGTAAAAATACACGCGGTCGGGGTCCTGGTCCGAATGGGAATCTTGACGAATCGATTCCGTCGCTGTCAAACTTTTATTGTGGTGGAATTTAATCGGGGCGGAGGTATTTCAAACGGGGCGCAACGATTGAAACAAGGGGGAGTTTTCCCAAACGGGGCGCGGGCGCCCCGTTTGCGCAACGTAGGGAGAACCCTGCATGTTACAATCCACATTCCTTCCCGTGGCAAATGGCAATGTCAGATACAACACATGCTCTCACTGGCTGAGTTCCCAGCCCTGAACCAATGAGAGCCCGGTTTACATTTTACAAGGTGGAATCAACATGAAAAATGGCCGCCCCCATGAACGGCCATTTCCCATGGCCATTTCCGTGTTTTCCATCCGTTTTCCGACATCGCGGAAAATCACTGTCCCTACATCCGATTAACCGCCAGCTAAACCTAATAACACCGTATGTCTTCTCAAAGGTTAGCAATACTGGTTGCCTTCTGGTACCAATTATTCTAAGTGTATCAGAACGATCACTTCGCGCATGCTTCGGTCTTCCCCTATTAACTTTCGCTCGTGTCATTTTGCATCGCTACACCTAGTTATTCATAGGTTGCAGACTTGAAAATTGTACTAGCTCTAATTATAGTAGGTATGGGGTGGAGGGATTGACCGGTCACCCTGTTTTTCCCATGTTCCTTAATGATCCACATCTCACACACTTGTCTATTGATTTGTTACAGAGAACTCTACGGTACTTAAACATTGCAAAACTCTATGTTGCTGTCAAGGAGTATGAAACAGCTAAGCATTACCTGGCTGGCTTTCTCAGCATACAGCCTGGCCACGCTGCAGCACATAAACTTCTGGGACAAGTGTTTGAGGCATCCACAGATAATGAAAAAGCTATAGAGTCATACAAAAGGTAGGAACATAGGAGTTTTTCATGCTGGACCACTGATCATATTCCACAAGTGATATGGAAAGTCATTAACCTATATAATCGACTTGGTTTAATGTGCTAACTTAATTGCTACTAAAACATTGATTGCTTATGTATCTGTAATATTGATTTTTTCCAAAATTAAATTATTGGTAGATCTAACTGGGTTAATTGTTACTCAACCGTGAAGATTGAAAACGTACAGCTGATGTTTTGCCTCCTGACAGGGGGCTTTCTCAAAGCTGACTGACGATTATCAGTTTTGACCACCAGATGGTGTGGTGGTCAGCAGCTTGGTCCACACGTGACTGAGTCTGTATCCCCCCTCGTCACTGTTGATGTTCGGGGTCTTGCGGATCCAGATGGCCTCCTTAATCCAACGCCTGATTTTGATTGGCTCGTGATCGATGAACTTCAAATTATCCCAATCGATGGTGTGATTGTCCTTCGCTACGTGGTCCGTGATTGCGGATTTGGTAATTTCAGTAGCCGACTGTTTTCGTTGGGCCCTTGTGAAAGATTTGGGTGCTACGTTGTCTACGTTCTTTTTATGTTCTTTTAAGGCGGGTTTCAAATTTTTGACCGGTTTTTCCAATATAACTTTGTTCACACATTGCACACGGTATCTTGTAGACACAGTCTGTAATGTTGTGTATATCTATATGTATGTCTTTAGGGTGTACCAAATGCCTTTTTAAGGTCTCAAGCGGTCTAACTGTTGATGCCACACCTGCATTTGGCGTCTACCCCAATTGGGCACTCGAAAAAGTGTCCAAGGAGATGAACACTTCACAGGTACAAACAACATTCCATAAGAAAACCTCCACGGAGAAACCGAAGGCGATGATTGTCCTACCTAGTGCAACGTCACCTAAAAAGTGCAGGTGTGGCATTAACAGTTAGACCACTTGAGACCTTTTAAAAAGCACTATAGGTACACCCTAAGGACAGAATAGATATACACAACATTACAGACTGTGTCTACAAGATACTGTGTGCAATGTGTGAACAAAGTTATATTGGAGAAACCAGCCGAAAATTTGAAACTTGCCTTAAATAACATAAAAAGGACAAAGACAACGTAGCACCCAAATCTTTCACAAGGGCACAACGAAAACAGTCGGCTACCGAAATTACCAAATCCGCAATCACGGACCACGTAGCGAAGGACAATCACACCATCGATTGGGATAATTCGGAGATCAATCGACCATCTGGATCCGCAAGACCCCGAACATCAACAGTGACGAGGGGGGATACAGACTCAGTCACGTGTGGACCAAGCTGCTGACCACCACACCATCTGGTGGTCAAAACTGATAATCGTCAGTCAGCTTTGAGAAAGCCCCCTGTCAGGAGGCAAAACATCAGCTGTACGTTTTCAATCTTTACGGTTGAGTAACAATTAACCAAGTTAGATCTATTAGTCTACCAACCGAATAAACTTATTGAATAAATTATTTGTGTCGTTAAATTATTTTAGTTGGTAAAGTGAATACTAAGTGTCTAAAGAGTTTCAATAAAACTGTAGAAATGTAAACATCTTAAAGCACCTTCCTAAAAATACTTAGTTTGGGAGCAGGGATGTTTGTCCAGTTCCTCTCTATTGCCCAGCTGTGGTGGTATAAATTGAGAACAATATTATAATATGGTCAAAATAGACATTTATATTCATAATTTCATATTTTAAGGTTTACTTTTAATTATAAAAAACTCATTTGTCGAAGTCAAAACACAGCATAATGCACTTGATATGGATCAGCGTCATGCTAGTCTTTAAGGTTGTAATTTAAATGTAATGCTAAAATTATGCGATGTAGGTCACTGCAGGCCAATTCGACACAGAAAGATCTGTTTTTGAAAATCTGCGAACTGCTGTGCAAGTCTTCTGTCGACGTAGAAAAAGCACGATATTGGTTGGAGAAAGCAGAAAAAGTGTTTCACCACCATCCAATTTTGTATAAACTGAAGGTATATAAATAAGTGTAAAAGTTTTTGTTTAACCGTTTTGAAAATTGTATTGAAAAGAAGTGAAAACAGTTCCACAGTGCATGTTGGCTTCAGTATCCAATGAATAGCATTTAAAAAAAAAGATATTGGTCTTTGAGGCAAAAAGCAAAACCAATGTTCTTACATACAGTGTTCTGTAAAATGTAGATCTTAATTTCAGGATAAGGTTCTTGGATGCAATGCACACAAAGATCCACAAGAGTTAGAACAAGTTTATGCAGTTGAGCTTGTGAGTTGCTACCTGGCTATATAGAAAACCATAGAATTTCTACAAGTACAATTATCATATGTAACATAGTCCGTATTCAGGGTGCAAAATTAGCGGGAGTCTGGAGTCAAATACTCCCTGATTTACTGTTGGACTCCCTGATTTGACATATATGCAGGAGTCCGTGTGACTCCCTGAAAATTCTGCTATACTAACTAGTTCGTTCCGGAGCACGGCCTCGCGGAATTACCGTATTTTTTCAGCGAATGTCCAAAGAAAATTTGGCAGATGTGCAACCGCATGAATCTTAAAAATAAGCACATGCGTTATTGTTAATATCTTTAATTTTGAACCTCAGACTGCAGACTCCTTCATTTTGCTGCGGACTACCTCTTTTTGAGGGTAGGGAGTCCGTTGGACTCCCGTGTTCAAAAGTTAATTTCTACCCCTGCATATTTAACATGAGTTTTTCACTGAAGTACTGCAGTTGGTTTGAGTCGTAATCTTAGCTAAGACCAGGTTGTACAATTACTTGCTTGTAGCATAATCGTGTATACTTGTGCTTAAAGGCTGAACGCCCAAACGATTTGGGCCTGCGTATACGCCTCCTGCATCTCTACATGATGACAGAGCGCTGCAAGGATGCATATGAACACAGTGTGCAAGTGGAGGCACAACAGCCATATTCACATAGCCGCGAATGGTACATGTGTCTGGCTGAGATCAGTCAGGTAGGTACCTAACCCAATCTCATGGCAGCTTGGATCACATTTGATAGCGGTGTGTTGGCAAAGTTAAAGATGTCAGGCTTTCAGATTTGAAAAGTACAGGAGGACTACTAATGACTCCCCTAGAACACCATAGGGGGACTTTTCATGCTCCATAATCACACCCTTAAGAGGCAT